TCAATATCTGTTAATTACTTGAAGGACGGTTAGGCTGTTTCCATTTTCTAGCTATTGCGAATAGGGCAACTATGAACATGGCTGAATAAGTATCTATGTAGGAGGATGTTGAATCCTTTGGGCATATGCCAAGGAGTAGAATGGCTGAGTAGTATGGTATATTTACATTTAGCGTTTTGATAATTCTCCACAGGGATTTCAGAGTGCCTTGACTAGTTTTCTGTCCCACCAACAGTGAATGAGGGTCCCTGCTTTCCATCCTTGTCAACATTTGTTGTCAGTTGTTTTGTTGATCTTCATTATTCTGACTGGGATGAGATGTCCAATCTGATAGTGTATCAATAGTCTGCTATATGCAAAACAAAAGTTTTAATATGGATGATGGGGCATAGCCTACTATGTCCTCCACAGCAGAACTGTTTATCCACCCTCCCCCAAAGCCCAGAAATGTAGTTTTTATAGGGATAGCCCGAAATGTGGTCTTGAGTGTCATAAATGCATTGTATCCAAATAAGGAATCGTTTTTAGTATTTGGCAGCTTAAGGATTTATGACTTGAATTCTTACTCTTATAGAACTTTATGTGGAATCCTGGTCTGCTACATCCTTAGTTGACTGTGCAGTTAATGTACTTAATATCTGGATTCCCAAGGTGAACCACGTATGTGGCAGAAATTATTGTATTTTATTTTTTATTACATTGTAGGTGTATATACATGCCATAGCACATGTATGTGGTCAGTGGACAACATATGGGAGTCAGGAGTGTTCTAGGGACTGAATTCAGGTATCAGGTTTAGCAATGAGCACCTTTATCTGCTATACCATCTCAATGGCTCTAAACTATTTTCAGTGGTGGAACTAACCAATTTTGGATCTAAACAGAACCCTCCCAACCTCAAACTCTTTTGGAAGGAAGAGGAGTATTGATTGTGTTAAGAGAGCATTGCGTTTTAAAATGTTTTCAAGATGTCTTCTACTTCTTTTTAGCAGCCTGGTGTATACTCCTTCATCCTAATCTATCCCTGCACTAACTAACTGATTTTACTGAGATCTGTCTGTATCTTCAGAGAACTAGCTTCCAGAGAAATTATAGTGGCAGGTATTTCCCCACAGAAATGTCCTGATTTGCAACTAGATTTTATAAGCAGTTTCAGGGGCTCCTTTAGTACTATAATCAACCTGAAGGGCCAGTCTTGGTTTGTGTTTTGCTGCCTAGTCTTTCCTTCCACTGGTACCCATAGGTGGCCTATTGAGTTTGAAGGACCACCCCAATCTAATAGCTCACATCAAGCCCCATTCAACTGCTCCCCTTACCCCATTGAAAGAAATGAGACACAGATATTGGTGATATTTATCCATTTATTAAAATATTTTAAGAAGCGATTACTTTGAGGACCGGTGTTCCATTTTGTGAGGAGGGCTAAAAGGAATAGGCACACTTTGTGGATCTTTTCCTTCTACATTTTTTCCTATTATTCCATGACTATTCCTGCTTCCTCCCCTGACCAGGCCCTGGCCCTGCTACTAATTTTCAGGGCCTCAGAAAGCACAGAACACATAATAGTGAACAACAATGTATTACAGATAAGCAGACAAATGCAACTCCACAAACCATATAGCCAATCAAGGTCCCTTATTCAGTGAAAACGTGTGAATGGGGTCTGATTTCTTTGGTATTAGTTTCTGTTATACAAATATCCTCTTTTTTCTTCCCTTGCCCTTTTGGGTGTAATAGAGGCCCTTAATGGATAGACGTTGGCCTTCTATAGCATTGATGCCAGAAGTGGTTGGTGGCAACTTAACTCTATTCGGATATTTCTTTCTCTGGTGTACTTCTGGCCAAGGATTAAGACAATCAATTCTACAGACAGTGGTACCAAAGATACAATCAAACCCCAGAGCTTTGATTCTTAATGATTTCTGTACATAACTGTGGTGGATACTTGGTGTCTGGTTCCACCACCTGAGCAACTATATTACTTCAAATAGTTAACAATGAAATCCTGAAAAGGGCCCATGTTCTCAGGGGCTAAGGAAACTCCAGAGAGAAGGAGGAGGGAGGGAAAGGGAGGGATAGAGAGAGGGAGGAAGGGACAGGGAGGGAGGGAGGAAAGAGAAGAAAGGGAGGGAAGGAGGGAGGGAGGGAGGGAGGGAGGGAAGGAGAGAGGGAGGGAGGGAGAAAGGGAGAGAGAGAAAGACAGAGAGATCCATTCTTGCTTTGTTTCCAAGTAGATGTATGAACAAGTTCTTAGCATGCCAGCTTCCCTTTTCAGGGAACAATTGGTAACTAAACAATTCAGATGGTATCTGGACCATTTTAACAAGCCACACTTGCTCCTTAGCTTATCAATTTTGCTCTAGTCCCCATCCTATATGTGCCATTCAATATCATTCTGACTCAGATGGGAGGATGGGGTGGGAAATGAGTGGGAATTCAGATGGTACAACAGAGCAACAGCAGCATTACAATACACAAAGACCTACAGCACTTCAGCAAAATAAGCAGAGATGGAGTCCTATTACAGTTGACTATCATTTATGATAAAAATAATTACAAGTCATAGCCCTGCTTAGTCGTTACCAAGGTAAGGCTACTGTTTCCCAGGATTTCCTTCTATTTCCTTAAGTTTGCTTATTTATAAATGATCCATTTTGGAAAAGACTCTTCTAGGAAAATTCAACATGGTTCCCAACTATGTGAGTGTGCATGTGCAGGCATTAGTTTCTGCAGCCAAGGAGCAACAATGCCCTTGGTGGTTTCATCTGATACCTCCTCCTCCTCCGAAGAGTGATAAGAGAAAACCAGGCATTGCAACAACACACTCCACTTAAATACCTACACTGTCGGCACATCCACATTCTGGTATGTAAGTTCTAAATGTTTCTGTCATTCTTTCCCATTGGATTTCTTCTCTAGTTGTAGAGCTAGGACAGTTTTGTTTGGCACAGCTATCAGACATTGGGGGTCTACCCCATTGTTAGTCTCTTTTTCTCACCCGTGAAGAGGTGGAACACAGGCAGCTGGTTTGAGTGGATTAGGCTGGTGGAGTTCCAGGAAGTTGAGAACCAGTGATCGGAGTCTAGATTGTGCACCTCAGTGAACCAGCCATTGGACTGAGTCAGATAGTTGAGCACGCTAAGTTTGGCTGAGCAATGAGAAGAGGGCAGTTTTCTGGATTTTTCTTGAGAAGTGGGAAGGGACACTTTGAAAAAGGGATGACTTGAGGGTGGAGATGAGAGGCAGACCAGAGACATTTTCTCTGAGCACTGGACTTTTATAAGTTTTAGCTGGCCGAGATTGCACATTTAAAACAAAAAAGATTCAAATGATGATTTCGAACAATTTAGGACTACTATTTTTCATGAAAAACTTGGATGCAGAACAGGGGAAAGCTGAGGCTTTTAGCCTCTATTTCCCCAGTTCAATGCTCTTTCTGGTCACCCTGACTGCCCCTCTTATACTCAGGGGAAAGGGGGGGCAAGATATGATATTTAAAGGTAATTTGAAAAGTGGTCCAACAGCCTATCCAATAGCTGCAGGCCTAGATTAAGCTTATGGGGAAGGCCACAGGCTGTGGTGGGTTGGTAGGCCCTAACGTAGACATCTAAAGGGTAGAGCTCTTTGATATCTTTTTTACTGGGGGAAGGGGCAAGAAAGCTCAGGCAGTTGCTGATACAGAGCCAGGAGAAACAGAGCAAATGGCAGCATGCCAGCTTGGCCCCTCCTGCAGGGCATTGGTGATTTTGTTCCCTTTCTGTGGCCTGGCTCAGTATTTTAAGTGGATGTCAGAATTAGCTGGGCTATAAGTAGACTCCAGCTAATTCTAAGACACTAAAAATGCACCAAAAGATTAGAAGCTCCACCAAGAACTAGGGCAGTTGGCAGAGTTGTATATGTTTGTGGGGTAATAGGGGAGGGGAGGGATTCCTGGGTTATCACAATAAATTAGAGGGTCACTTAGAGGTCGAGTTGTATTTTCAGTTCTTAAAAATATATATATGAATATATATGTACATCTTTATGTCTCTGTATATAATCTATACTGCAGCACAGCGGCAAAACATTTAGTTAAAAAATCCAGCGAGAATGCAGGCAAGCACTCCATGGAGACATGCAGGCTAGGATCAAGGCAAAAGGACAAGAGCCTGTATGGTTGCTATGAGGGGTGAGTTCCAAACAGTGGGCCCACCCAGCCACGAGAGCACCACCTGGACATGTGCAAAGATATACATGTACACATGGGAAAACACAAAGAATTTATGGGGAGAGGGGGGCGAAGCAGATGTAGAGGAAGAGAAGGGAAGAGAGAAGGGAACCAGGATGAGAAGGAAGGTTAGCAAGGAAGAGAAGGATAGAAAATGGGAGGGGAGGGGAAGGAAAGGGAGGGGAGAGGAAAGGAGAGAAGAGACTCATATCTACAAGGAAAGATTCACATGATGATTATAACAGAAAAGTGGATAAGCCTCCAGGACCTAGTTCTCATCTTCTTGAGCCAACTAGGAGTCATCTTTTGAAATTTCAAGTTGCAATTGGCAGGGATTGGAAGAGAAACACAACCAAGCCTGAATGCCCTGCCCCCTCTTCATCTTTCTGAGAGCTGGTTACTCATTCATTCCTTGGTGTTAACAGTTTCTCTGCTAGTGAAAGAAACCCATTCCAATACTTCCTAAAGAGATTCACTCCCATAAATTCTTATAGATCCCGGGCTAGTCATAAAGAGTCTATCCCCAATAAACATTGTAGTTGCTCAAGGTACACAATGAGAAGGAGAACTGAACAAGACAACTCGGAACAAGAATCTTTGGCCAACGAGAAAAATGTAACCCTCTAAGGAGATCTGATTAAGTCCAGGGAGAATATATTAGTATAAGGATTTGGAGGGTCTTTCTTGGTGGTGCTCATGTTTGTTCTGATATAATTGAGTTCAGTCTTTCTTGAGGTTTTGAGAGTGTTTAGTAGAATTCTGTGTTGAGAGTTCTCCTTCCAGCTTTCAGGAACTACAGCCGAGAACTTGAAGGTGTTGGAGGGTCATCACTTTTTTCTGCATTGTCACGATTTCTGCGACGCCAGAACCTGCCTTCAGAGCCAAAGAAAGCAAGGTATAGAAACAATGAAGTTAGTACTTTGCCAGATGCTTAAATGTGTGAAACACAGAGGGGGAAGAGTAGTAGCAGACAGATTAGTTTGTTCCTAGTGTAGCTACCATCTCTGACTCAAAGAGGAAGCCACTGGAGACCATGCAAACTGAATGCAAATAGGATTAATTCTTAGAACCCAATTATCTATGCAACTACTATGGACTCAATCTGAGTCTACAAAAATCCTTTCAAACACCAGAGATTTCCAAATGTCAACTTTTTAAGGAATCAAATCTGTTGGACCACACCCAAGAAAAATATAGTTAGATGCAAAAGATTTTTCTCTGGCATCCGAAAAATCCTTATTCACTAAAACTAAAACAGTCATCCTCTCACCATGTTTTCACATGCCTGCTAATGCTATATCTTTGAAGCGTCCATGTTACCTAAGCCTCAAATTTAGGAGAGATCATGCACATCAGAATTGGGACAACTGAAAATTCCAGTAGAGTCTTCTTTTACATCCCATTCCCATTTCTTTTCTTAATACTTTCCCATTTACAACACTTCAGACAAGTTACAGGGGAGAACGGTATAAAAAACAAAATTTATATAGTATGAGATTTGCATATCCAGGAACTCTCTTTAACAGGGAGAAGCGATTTTTGACAGGGCAATAAACCTGTCCCCATTATCTTAGGACTGGGTCAAGCAGTATGATACCTGTCTGATAGCAGTTTTCCTTTTGGCCATCCAGCCCACTCAGCACCATTCCCTCTCAGGCTCACCCTTTACCAGTCAGTATTCTATCATTCTCTAATTCACTTGGCATCACCTAATATTGGCTTCCTCCCGAAGTCTCACTTTCCAACACACCCATGAACATTTCTGAGGGTGCTCTTAAGTCTCTTAGAGGTATTCAAGCTGTTATTCATGTCCTCTATGCCTGTGAAATTGACTTACCAAGAAAAGCAGGGAATCGACGGCTTGATTTTGGTTTTTCTTCATCTTCATGTTTCTTCTTCCCCAACTTGGGGAATTTAACTTTCAACCTGCGACTTAGACTGCTAGTGTCAGAAGAGTGCTCCTGGGAAACCACAGCAAGAGTAAGGTCAAAATATTAGTTGATATTCTGAAACGGATTTAAGGGCTTTTTAAAGTGAGGGACAAGGATGGCTCCAGAAAGCAGGTGCATCTCCTCAGCCCAGGGAGGAGAGTTGCCCATATTCACTAGTCATATACCTTAATAAAGACAATGAGCTTCAGAAAGAGCCTGCTGTGTGCCATGTGCCTCTCTGGATATATCAGTAAATGCTCTTTACACAAGCCTCAAAACAACCTGGGAAAATAGCTACGATCATTCCTGCATTAGAAATTAAGCAAAGGCTCAGACTTAGGGGAAGGTTGTGCAAGTAGGGGTAGAGGAGGAGGAAGTGGAAACAAAGTTGTGTATTCTTTTAAGTGTGTTGAGAAAAAACAAAAAAAGCAAAGGCTCAGTGGTTTCTTACTCTTGTTCCTAGCAAAACGATCCTGAGGTTGATTTATTTTCAGGAAATCTAGCCAAACACATTACAAGAGGTTTGTGGGTAATTTTCCTTTCAGGATCAGTTATGCCTTCAGTCCCTTCCATCAGGAGAAGGGGCCGAGCCTATCTTCCCCCTTATCCTGTAATGACTCCCATTGTACCCTTTCTTCTCTAGTGCTGCTCCTGGCTGGATACCCCGGCCTTCTGAACTGCCTTTTATAAACAACTTCAAGAAAGAACACAGGACCTTACCCTCAGTTAGAGCCCTGAAAAGCCCAATAAACTATTGACCTTGGTCCTGCTCTCCCTCAGAAAAGTGGGTCTGATCTTCTATAATCAAGTTAAGGGTGTTTAGTGTGATCAACATCCCCTTGACCTATTTTCAATCTACTCCCTTTCTTCAGGGCTTTACTTCTCTGGAAATACTGGTGCTCAGAAAAGAGATTTTTTGTTCCAGGTGAGGAAGACTCACATGTAAATTGGGACCCCAGGGTATAGGCTGAATTTGTCTCATTTCTCTCAATATCCAGCTAGTTTGCTTAGCTCAGGAGTTTAATGGGAGATTTCTGAGGCAGGTAATGGAACGAAGAGTGAGAATTTGTGTTGCTTATTGTCTAACAGTATGCCTTCCTTCCCCAGAGGGCTACTGATAAAACCATAAAGACCCTGTAATGCAATGTAATCACCAGAGATTGGTAAACCTTTTAAGACAATGAGTGGTTCTCAACCTTCCTAATGCTGCGACACTTTAATACAGTTTCTCATGTTGTGCTGGCCCCCAACCATAAAATTATTTCAGTGCTATTTCATAATTGTAATTTTGCTACTGTTATTAATCATAATGTAAATATCTATGATTTTTAATGGTCTTTGGTGTCTTACCCTCAGGTAGAGAACCATTGTTTTAAGATGAATTTGCACATGATTTTCCTTCTGAAATGGTAACTTTGCCCCTGCACTATTCCAAAGATGCCTATATGACTCTCACATGCATACAACTGGCATTTGGAGTTATAAAATAGCTATGAGGAGGTAGTCAGGTATCCTAAGATTTGAAATGAATGTTTTTATGGTGGAAAGTTTTTGAGACAATCTCTGTCAGATCACAAAGAGACTATTTTACTTCAATGTAGGTGGCCATCTTTGGGATACTTGGTTTCTGAGTAAATATAAGAGTTTTCCAATCTTAGGAAAATACTCATAGACAGCATCTCTGCAACTATATTCTATCTATAACAATGTTTGATTTTCCTTTTATGCCACATACTGGCTGTGAGACACAATTGGGGGGGGTAACATCAGGAAGAGGAGGTGTTTGGAAGATTGGACTGCCATGACAGCCTAGGTATCAACTATTTACAACAGCTGTCTGCAAACCACCAGTGTGGCTATGCTAGTATGTACCAGATTTGGTTTAGTTCTGGCAGCAGACACTGAGCAGGGAGAGCTAGTAACCCAGAGAACAACGTGTTCTTCCTTATTCTTTCTTGCTTTAGAATGGACTTCTTTACGATTATTTTTCCATGGTCACCTACTTGCTCATTTTTGTTGTTTTGTTCTGTCCATTTATGGTGAAGAGGATGCTGCATTAATGCTAAAGCTAAAGGTTGCATTGGGCCTCTGTTACAACCATCCCATGTATGGACCCATATTATCAGACCTTAAAACAAGGGAAAATTCCCACTTCCCATGTTACGCACCTCTGGAAGAAGGATTTGACTCAACCAGCCAATTTCCAGAACACTTCTCAATTCCATATTCATGGCATCCAGTGCAGTTTGAAGTATGGCCTTATCGCCAGCATCTCTCAACTGACATAGACAGGGAGAACAGTCAGTGTACATTCCTTGCATTTTGCCTTAGACTTCACTCTGAGTCCATGCTAGTGACCTACAGACCATGCAGGTAACATACTGCAGCCCATTTTGGCCAAGAGACTATAAGGATGACAAACTGTAGCTCATTTGGCCTATAATCAGATTGTTAACTTCTCAAAAGTAATACTAGCTTTAGACAGTTCTCTTTTCAACAAGAAGATCCAGAAAATAGAATCTCTGAGCTCTCTTTGGATCTGGGCATGCTCAGTTCCACAAGTGAAGGTCTTTCTCCAGCATGAATTAACACCGTATTTTCTGCTTTAGCTTAATGCCTAAAACATGGGTCCCACTCTTGACTTGCAGTTTCTGAAGCCACATCAGCATCCTCCTAAGTAAGAGCTATCATTAAGTTCTGAGCACACAGTGTATATCAGGTACTGTGGATACATAATTTCACTTACTCTCCCCAATAGCCTCACAGTACCTTACAAGGTAGGATTATTCTCACTTCCTAAGTGAGAAAGCATAATCAAAGAAGTTTAATGTTCAAGATTACATGGCTAATGTTTGGTGGATATCTCTGGGAGGTCTGCCATTTTCTGAAGGGAAATGGAGGAGGAGTGGATAGGGAATGGGGGGGAATGGGGAGGGACTAGGAGGAAAGGAAGAAAGAGGGGAAACTATGATCGAGACACAATATTTGAGAGAACACATGTATTTAAAAAAGATTACGGGGCTAAACAGAATCTGTCTAACTTAGTGGTCTCCCTTTTATACAATACAGTTCCACAAAGGGCATATAAAGTATGAAGATGATAGAGGGAATACATTGTAATTTAAAAGGTAGTTTGCAAATCAAAGTGAGAATTTTAGGGAAAGACTGCCTTAACTTTACCTTCCTGGTAGAGGGCCTGCCTCTCTAGGTTGTGCTATATCTTCTAGCTATGTGTTCTCCATGATTAAGAAACATGTTTGCAGATGGCTTGTCCTGTCTAAGTGGTTACTGCTGACCTCCCAGCATGCACAAGATAAACTCTGTGTGATACATGGGAGCCTTATAATAGATTCTTTTGAGGCCATCTCCAAGTTCCAAATCAGTGGTACAGGGAGACCATTCATATTCTAACAGGTATAATAATTTGGGTACGTGGAAGTAAATTGATGTATGTAGCCTTCAAGGGCTGAAGGCACACAGCAATCTAACCTGGACTCATCTCTCAAGTGTTCATCTCTACCATGCACTCTCCTTTTAGTTTGGCATGTCTGTGGTCTCTTTCTATTTATAGGATACTTAACTTCTGTAGCAATAGCTAGTGCTGGAAATATGTGGCAATTGAATGGACAAGGAGCGGGGTGGGAGGTTATGGTAAGTCAGAACATGACATAAGGAAAAAAATCACACTAACAAATAAATTATCCTTCTTTACAGCTTAAGACATTAGTACATCATGGCTCAGATGCATGTGAGAAACATATGCCAAATAAGGGAAGTGGGAATTAGTGAATAGGATTCACTGTAATTTTTTACAAAGCTATATCCCTGCTACAGTTTACATAAAATGTCCTCCCAAGGCCCAGACGGGTGCTATTGGGAGGAAGTGGAACATTTAAGAGGTCTAGCCCAATCAGAATATTCTGGTCACTGTGGCCATGCCTTTGAGAGGGACAGCAGGTCTTTAATCACACTCCTTTTCATTTCTAGCCATGATGTGAGCAACTTTAATCTACTACATGATTCTCACCATCATGTGCTGCCTTGTCATATGCTGAAAGCAAAGGAGCAAATCATTCATGCACCAAGCCCTCCAAAGCTGTGAGCCGCAACAGAGCTCTTTCAACTGATTGTCTTGGGTATTCATTACAGCAATGGAAACGTGATACAGCCTACCCCGCCAAAACTACTCTTTTTTTTTTTTTTTACTGACATTCTTTCTCATTAAGAAGAATAATCCCCCAAAGAAATATGACTTGTATCCATCTCATGTCTGTGACAGCCTTTCTGGAGATGCATGGTAATTCTTACGTGCTTCGTGCCTGCTAGCCTTGTTTTGATGTGTACACCATGTGTGGAGTCTCACAGGTCCTACGGGAAGGAAGCCTCCCTTCATGGTAGGATATATTCAAGTTGGGCTGTTGCCTAGCATGCCCCAATTTTCAAGCTATGAGCATCAAGAAAGCCTAAGAAGCAACAAGAGGCCAACTTCCCATATTTACTGATGACTGAACTGAGATGACAATTGAGTTCAGAATTCCAATTGAAATTGTCCAAAGCTGAAATACACTTGGCTTGGGGCCCAGATGATCGATGGAATGGTATGGTCTGAGTGCTTTAGCCATTCCACTTCTGAGGCAGTGTGGTAATTAGATATGTAAATGAAGAGGCAGTGGGCATTCTTACAATTTTATCTCAGAAGCCCTTCTTCAAATTAAACTTTAATTAGATCAAAAGTAAGCACAACACCTGCCTTGGGGACAAAATCAAAGCTGGATTATTATAAGCAGTTGTGCCCATGCATGGACATTACATTATGAGAAGCATGCAATTAATGTCATCCTCAAAGTCATAGTTCACCCTCCCTAGTACTTTTAAAGTCCATATTTTGAGCCCGCAATTATGTACCTGATACTTCTAGGCACTTAAGCTACAATACTTTGTTATTTATACAAATCCTCTAAACAAACTGTAGAGGTGGGATACAATTCCTATCTTGGAGAGAAGAGAAATAATTGCAAAGAGGTGCAGTTACACAGTTAGTGTTGTGAGTTGTGTTCCTCTCAAAAGACATGTTAATGTCCTAACCCCCAGTCCTTTAGAATGTACCCTTATGTGAATTTATAGTCAATGCATTTGTAATTCACTGTTAATTTGAGGTCATACTAGATAGGGCAAGTCTTACTTCATTACTATCAATGGCCCTGGCAGAATATGGCCATATGAATACAGAGACATTGAAGATGGAAAAACAAGACAAGAGTGATTAATTATAAGATAAGGTTCAACAAAGATTGCCAGAAAAAAATTACCAGAAGCTTGGAAAAAGCAAAGCAAGTTTCCCCTAGGGTTTTCAGAGGGATCATAGACTGGCTGATAATTTGGATTTAAATGTTGGAGTTTCCAGAATGATGATATGGTAAGATTCTGTTAACTATTTGATACTTAGTCACGGCAGCGTTAGGGAGATAATACAGATGGTAGGTAGCTAATTTGTATCTGAGCTCAGAGCCCTCAAAACTTCCCTCTATTTCCTGTTACTTTCTCCATGGAGAAGGTGACATTTACAAACTTGAGAGAAGAGCCTCTCTGAGGAGCTCACTCTTTTCACATGTGGCTGTATCAAGTACAATAAGAACACTCGGCATCTGGTAGGCCTACTCTTGACCTTGGAGTCATTGACCAAAGAGAGAAAGACTTTCATCAAAAAATACAGTAGTCCTAATGGATTGGCATAACACATACAGTAACACATTTAGGTGACAAACACTGGATGACAGCAATCGTGACTGGAATCATCAGGCAAGCACCTGCTTACAATGATCACACGTCTCTAGTACCCTGGAACCAAACACAGAATGTGGCCATATTCAAAAGAGATGTTTTCCCTCCCATGCTCCAACCCCCTGAACTCACCAAGTTTTCATCCAGGAAAGCTTTGGTGTCATCGTAGAGCCCTTTAAGACTAAATGTAACATCTACTGCATCATTTCTGCTTAGAGTCTGAGAGGAGAAGAAAGGAGAAGAGTGGAAGGGAAAGGACAAGATAGAGGAGCTGGTTAGTAAGCATGCAGCTGGCTTCTCCATGGGAAGGTAGGGAACAGACTAGAGGACATTGCTGTAGGTGGAAAAGTAATATTAAAAATACAGCACAGCTGGCACAGCATGAACACCAATCAATCGACACCGGCTGTCAATGGTTAATGGGCAACAATATTGGTGTGCCGGGCAAAGAGGCACAAAACAGCTTAGCTTTCGGCATCATTGATTGCATACAGTGGGTAACAGGAAAATAGGAGATTTGCAAACCAGAGGGAAATTTGCAAATCAGACTTGTCCCTAGGTTAAAACTACCTTTCCCATGGTACATAGAAATAAGTCTAACCATACATATCTCTTCTTGAAACTCATGGCCTTTGGACCTCCTTCAACTAGGACCTGGCCTAAAATAAACTTAATTCACATTTGAACATATCCTGATCCTATTGTATTTATACCTATTAATG